CTGGTTGTTCTCCTACCATATCAAATACTTCTGCTACTATCAAATCCTCTATCACAGGCTGATGTTCTACTATTTCTTTAGGCGGAATTACTATAGCCGTTTCCTCTTCTGGTATATTCACTGCTTCTGCTATTACCTGTTCCTCTATCACAGCCTCGTCCGGTGCACCCAGCTCATCTTTTAACATCTTAGGATCAACTAAAATTTGATCGCGATCTATTACATCTAATTCTTCTTCTATTTCAGTATTTACTAATTTTCTGTTAAAATTCTCAAGCGCGTCATTTACTCTATCCGTTATCATTTTCTGTTTATCAGTTACTTTTTTTACGATTGTTTCTTCTTCTACTATAAACTGTTTTTCAGGTTCTTCGATACCAGATGGAATTAGATCTTCCTGTACTACAGCTGTATCACTAACTACTACAGCTGCATCAATTGTAGCTGAGTCTAAAGCAACAGAGCGCTTGGTTCTTGTAACTAATTTACAAAAACATGGTTGTTCTAATACTTCAGCTGTCTGGAAACTTTCATCATCTTTCAGTTGATTTATTATTGCGTCTGATAAAGCAATTGGCTGTTTTACTTCTCCACCGTTCTCATAACTTATATTCATATCTGATTCAGTAGGCGATTCTAACATAACAGATGATGTGGAAAAGCCAGCTTCTTCAAGTTCCTTACGCAAATTTGGGAATTTTTTTGTCATAGAGTCACCGTTATCTGATATATCACCCAAAAATAAATCGCTATCATATGAATTTATAGAATTGGATCTTGGTCTATAAAATGTGACGCTTTGTTGTAACTCATCATCATTTCTCAACTCTTTTTTAGATGTTAGAGAGTTATCAGAATCATATCCTTGATCATAGTTCGTAAAATCGTGACCATCCAAACTAATCCTGCGTTGCAGATTATGCTGGTGAGGAGAAATTATTCTATCGCTTGCAATACTATGTCTACGAGCGATTCTTGAAGATGAATCTGTAGAAAAAACATTTAATAACTCAGATTGTTGTTCTGGTTCATTATCACTTTCTGCTATCGAGCTAAGATCTGAATACGAACTTGCAGGAGAAACATCTGATAAATTAGAAGGTTGTTGAAATAGTAATTCCTCAAGTTCAAACCGACTTTTACGTAATTCTTCAATTTTATTTTTTTGCAATTGAATAGAATGTAATAGATCATCAACAGCCTCTTGTTTTTCTTCAAGTAACCTTATGTCTTCGTCTTTATCAGCTATAATCTGATGATTTTTTTCTATATTTTGATTTATTTTACTA